TATCAAATCTGTCATCGCGCCACACTTCAGAGAAGAACTTGTGGAGGATATCGGTGAGTCTCCATATTCCCTGTATCTCGATGAAAGCACTGACATATTATCCATGAACAAACTTCTCTGTATTTGTGTGAAATACCACTCAAAAAAACACAAGTTTGTAAGTACATATCTTGGACTTGTGGAGCTGACAGATGCTGATGCTAAAGGCATATCAGACACTGTTGTTATCTTTATATCCCAGAATGGCCTGCAGATCAAAAACATGATGGGCATTGCCACAGATGGTGCCAGCGTAATGGTTGGAAAACACCATTCCGTATTCACCCTACTTAAACAAATGCAGCCAAACCTACAGCTTATTAGTTGTGTTTGCCATTCACTTGACATTGTTGCAAATAAAGCAATGCAGCTTTTTCCGAGCAACATAGAATACATGGTAAGAGAAACCTACAACTGGTTTGCTCATTCAGCAAAGAGGCAGTATGACTACAAGAATATATACGAGACTATTAATAACGGGGGCTGCCCTCTGAAATTAATAAGTCCAAGCTACCCGTTGGCTCGTGATGGCTGACTGCATTGACCGTATTGTGGATCAAAAAGATGCCCTCACACTGCACTTTAACATGGTTTCAAGTTCAGAGCAGTTATACTTTATATTTTAAAGGAGATGTACAATGACAAAACGAATCTCCTTTACATGTACTTTCTTCAGCCTGTTCTGATGGAAATCAAAGCTGTGAATAAATGCTTTCAGTTGGAAACCGGAAACACCCTCAGTGTGTTTAGAGACTTGGAAAGACTGTACATGACAACTGCTAGACGCGTTCTCAAACCAAGTGTCTTACGCATGAGTAATGACAAGCAGCTCCAGGAACTTGACCTCACACAGTCTGGTATATTCCTCTCCCCTCTGGATGCAGACCTGGGTACCACATTTATGGACCAACTGGAGGAAAGCAGGTTAGCCTGAAGGAGAGAACATGAAGGAGAGAATTGCATTGCACTGTATGGATTTTCTGAAAGAACTTGTAAAGCAGTACCAATTGCGCTTACCTGCTTCAATGGAAATGTTGCGCAAACTAGAGCTCCTGTGCCCAAAATCTGTTATGTCTACTTTAAATAGGCCTGGAGTAAAGGACTTGCCAGCTGATCTTTTCTCATGCCCGACTGATACATTAGAATCGCAATGGAGGAATGTGGCATCAGCAGGCTTCTCTGATGATCAGGACATTGACAAGTTTTGGCTGAAAGTCGAAGCGTTTAAAGATGCAGGAGGACACAAGTGTTTCCAGGAATTAGCGCAAGGTGCCATAAGACTTCTTGTTCTGCCTGTTTCCAATGCCCATGTCGAGCGAGCATTTTCGCTGGTCTCGCTTTTGAAAGATGACACTAGAAATCGCATTGGGACTACCTCTACTCTCCAGCATCATGGACGTGCATATTGGCCTGGCCAAAAATGGCTGGACCTCTGCAAATTTCAAACCTCCCTGGCAGTTTCTGGAGAGATTTGACTCAACGATGTATTAATCACTCTGGTTCTGACTGTATAAAGTTTGTCCTATACCATTTCAAGAGACGTTCTCATCAGTTCTGCGAAGATCTCTGCATTAAATCCCTATAAAATGGTAAGCGTGTTTATACGCTATTATTCTGCTATACAATTCTGATGTCATGTTTGATAATTAAACAAAGCGTATACAGGTAGCTAACGTGTGTGTGTCTAAATAGTGCCCTTTGCACTAACCCATTTGTTTTGGGTTTTCTGTTTGTTCTATTTTATTAGTTATCACAGTATGCATTTTGGGCTGGCATTTTTTGAAATGGGCGGGTTTTAAGCTGTAGTTGGGCTGGAAATCTTCAGTCCAATCTGGCAACACTGCCTGAGTGAGCTGTCATCAGTCCGCCATTGTTTCACCGCCGGAGCAGATGTAGACAAGAATGACTCCTAAGCGATTGAGGTGTTCTGTTGTTGGATGTAATAATGAACATAGCAGTCGTCATTTAGTCCAGACATCTGAGCCGCTGAAGACGCAGTGGATTACGTTTGTTTCTGAAGGGAATGCACCCCTGATTTACCTAAATGCGTCTATGTTCACGCGAATCATTCGTGATCCAGCTTCACCTACAGAAGAAGTGAGTATAAGGTTTTTTAATGAATCTTTGCAAATCACCTTTCCTAATAATGAGCTAATTAGCACGTTTCATGATGAATGTGGCTAAAGTAAACAGTCCTTCAGAGAGCTGCTCGGAAGAGAGGGGCGGGGTCAGTAGAGCTCATTAACATTTAAAGAAAAATGCTACAAAACGGCTTGCTCTGAAAAGAGCTGTTTTTGACAGTAAAAAAGGACTGATTTACCTAAATGCGTCTATGTTCGCGCGAATCATTCGTGATCCAGCTTCACCTACAGAAGAAGTGAGTATAAGGTTTTTTAATGAATCTTTGCAAATCACCTTTCCTAATAATGAGCTAATTAGCACGTTTCATGATGAATGTGGCTAAAGTAAACAGTCCTTCAGAGAGCTGCTCGGAAGAGAGGGGCGGGGTCAGTAGAGCTCATTAACATTTAAAGAAAAATGCTACAAAACGGCTTGCTCTGAAAAGCGTTGTTTTTGACAGGGTAAAAAAAAAGGTGTTTTTACACTACCATTGACCCTAAAGAATCATATCAACTTGTGGAAAATGGGCATCCGATGACCCCTTTAACTAGAACATCTCTACTTTGACTAAGCAGGGAGCCGTCAAGACCAAAGGTGCTGAACCAAGTATAAAACTTCTGCAGTATCTCAAAGCCCAAAATAGCAACCAAACAAGGACATTTAATGTTAAGAACATTAAAAAAAGGTAAATGATAATGATGATCTACACAGCCAGCGCAGGCCAGTGGGGAACAGACAGAGTGAGTATAGAGCATGCTGCTTGTTCACACATACATTTATGCCGGACTATTTTAAATAAACTGAACAAAAGTGCAACTTCTCATTGTATGTAAAGCATTAGCGTCGACATTTTAATGATCGCCTTTTGTGTTCAACAATGGAAGAAAAAAAATCCTGTGCATTTGGAGCGACATGAGGGTGGATTAAAAAAATGCTAAGCAACTGTAACTTGCTTAGACTAAAATGTAGAGACCTGTGCTTTTTTTATCTTGGAACTTAATAATCAAAGATAAAAAAATTATTTGGGAAGTCACATTCAAATCCACTTGGCTCAAAAAGCCCCATGACACTTCTGGCTGCACCCACAAGATTAAACCAGATTAAACTGCGACAGAGCACCAGAATGAAATGGCAGGGCCACGAGTGATAGCGAGCTCCGTTTGACTGGCAGAATCTGGGGTTATGAGTCTGACGATACACAGGGAACGCAGCTGGAGGGAACCAGAGAGAGAGACATGATAGGATCATGGAAAACGAGCGCACGAGGGCATGGGAGAGAGAGATAAGGCGAGAGAGCAGGGCAAAAAAGAGAAGAGGAGCTCTCATCTCGCCGTGTTTCTGCTGCTGGCGTATAGGATGCACTCCAGTGTAATCGTCACTGAAGGGTTACTATTTCAGCAGCAGCCGCACACTGGCTGCTTTCACTGTGCCAATACAGCAAATTAAATAAGACTTTACTAAGAGGGCTAGAGAGAGAGGGACACAGAGCTAGATTGCAAGAGGGAGGAAAGGAAGAGAGAAGTGCTGATGGGACGGTGATGAAGTCTGGATTTAGGATAATTACTCTGCTGAGCTCTTCCTCCCTCTCTCTCTTGCGCTCCCTTTTTTCTCCTTTGCTCTCATTATTTGGAGAAGCTCGCCTGATGACAGTATCTGAGCTGCCTGTCGCTTATTAAAAAACGAAAATTGCTTCAGATGAGTTTATTAAACTCATCTCTCCCTCTTGCTCTCTCTTTTTCATCTGCCTCCCTCACACTCTCCTTTCTTTCACAGATATAGCAGCATGTTGAGATGAAAGAAGACTCATCTTTTTTTGGAAAGCACTATGAGAGATTCTCGAATCGTACGATATGAGTGGGGACAAAATAAATGGTCGCGAAACAATTAGGAGTTCAATCAAATCAATCGGCATCAATATTTCAAAATGTTTCATCTGCTCTAAATCCATTTGCTGACATTATACTATTAACTAGAAGGCTTACGGTGTAATTAATGAAACTTGCATTAAGAGCGGCCCCAGCCATTAGTTCAGAGAGGGGAGTTGACTTTAATGAGGGTCTTTTATCATACTGGAAGACAGAAAGTACATTGAAGAAGTACAAATAGTGCACTTTCATTAGAGGTTAAGTGTTACAACCATTGACATACTCTTTTGCTTCCTTTGATTGCCTTAATTCAATTTTTATTCAACTCTATAAACAATATTCACGTAGGATATCTTCTATAATGTCAATGCTAATGCAGTGCAAATCATATAATTGCAGGAAATTGTTTCTGGAAGGAGAAACAACAAGAGTAAGCAATAAACAGATTTGAAAGACACCAAACTTGTATAACTATATATAACTTTTTAAAAAAGAAAGATATTTGTTATAAAGCAGCATTTTTGTGTATGATTCTATGCAGATGAGTAAATGTTTCATTTTTGGGTGAACTGCCACTTGTAAGCCCACATTGTTATTAATATTAACACAAATCCAATAGCAATATAACTCCCAACAGGAAGCTGATAGCAATCACTGACTTACATGTAGCACTGGTTTAGTGATATGAATAAATCAGGTGGTGTCAGACAGCTGTTGATGTTTGTAGGGGCTGCATCAGGTAAAAGCGAGACAAGATATAACTTTTTAAAAAAGAAAGATATTTGTTATAAAGCAGCATTTTTGTGTATGATTCTATGCAGATGAGTAAATGTTTCATTTTTGGGTGAACTGCCACTTGTAAGCCCACATTGTTATTAATATTAACACAAATCCAATAGCAATATAACTCCCAACAGGAAGCTGATAGCAATCACTGACTTACATGTAGCACTGGTTTAGTGATATGAATAAATCAGGTGGTGTCAGACAGCTGTTGATGTTTGTAGGGGCTGCATCAGGTAAAAGCGAGACAGTGATGTGACGGAAAAGCAGTTTGTGTGGCGTTTCCACAGCAACTATGCCATCCTCTCATAATTTGCTCTTTGGTGGTGAACCTGGAGGTGAAAAACAGGTCTAATGGAGCACATGCACATACAGTAACAGACATTTACATGAACACTAATGTTTGGAGTTCAGCCACTGTGTGACATCTCAATAACATTATGTCATAACTGTGATTATTAGAGCAAGGATCGTTCATGAACATTTTACATAAAAAAAAAAAAGGTGCAAATATTAGCACCAGTCAATATGTTTGGGAGTGTTTAATATTTAGTCATATGAAATACTAAATTAGTCAGTGTGCTGCTTTTTAATTAATCTATTTTAGCAAGGTAAACACTGCTTCCATTAAAAACGTAGTCAGTGTTGGTTTGTTATTAGCGCTAACTACAAGCATACAGCTATCACATAAGAATAGCTTTAAATCGCACAAGTTTGTACTCTGTGTCCCAGAACACAGAAAAAAACCAACACAACTACATTGATGTCAGTCAGGACTACCAATTACTTGTCCTCTCACTGCGGGAGGAATAAGATAGAAAACTTTGAGGTGACAAATACTCGAAATGTACATATTGATAAAGTGCAGAACCACTGGGTACAGTTTGTTTAGAAAGCATAAATCAAGGGTGATTATGCATTTTAAATAATTATAAATATCTGCTATCTCTTTAGGAAATGAAATCAACGTTAAAAATGCAAAATGTAAGGAATAATGTTTTGAAGAACTCACTATAAGTAAAAGGGTGTGTATGAGATATGTGGTCCAGGTAAACCCTATGTTGGATGGTAAAAGGCTAGTAAAACCTGACATTTTTGGTCCCCACATGGAAAACAGCTTAGGCCTACACCTTTTTTTTTTATAAATGTAAAAATGCAGAAAGTTCTCTGTGAGGGTTAGTTTTAGGGGATAGAGTATACAGTCTGTATAGTATAAAATTCACTATATAAGTCCCAATAAAACATGAAAGCCCAACAAGCGTGTGTGATGACAGACCTCGTGGGAAGTATGCAGGCAACATTGTTTCGTAGAGCTCTTTGTCAGACTTCAGAAACACACAGAAGATGACCCGGTCCAGCTGAGAGCAGATTAAAACAGAAAAAGAGACAAGAAATAAAAAATAAATGACCAGAGAGAATCTCACTTTCAAGTTAGGATTTTGCTACTGCACAGCAGAAACCGACACAACTGAGACCATACCTGTATTAATATATCACAAACTTCATCCAAATGAAACAAATATGCTCCTTCATCCTTACTACTCTCTCTTAAGTCATAGCAGAAATTTGCTTCAAATCTTGTGAATAAAGTTAAAGGAAAGAAAATAATGTTTGTTTAAAAAAAAGCTTCTAGACCTACATTAAGTTCATTTCTATCGAAGTGTTTGTTTGAGATATTATATTATTATTCAGTGGCATGAATTGAACTTCAAATAATCCGTATAACTGAAGAAAAAGGTTCATTTGTCCAATTCACTGATTTTTGACTTGTAGCCTCTCAGTATTATGTGAAGAGAGGGTCTACTGAAAAGGAGCACTTTGGTGCAATCGCTTAGCATATTCTAATGTCTGAGTCTTTCTAGCCAAAGAGGCGCAGTGCCAGTGACCTAACTGTCCTTGACAGAACACCAGCACCAGTCCCAAATGCTTCATGGCAAGCATCAACATAAAAAGAATACATCGAGATCCGTGCCAGCATCCTAGAACCTCCATCTCCATGACAACAGTGGTGAGGGCAGGTGGGCTGTTCCTGCTTCTAATCATGTTCCTGTAACACATCATTGCATCCAGCTAGCACTCCTACTCTGCCACTGAAATCTCTCTCACTCTCATTTTTCTCTCTTTGGTCTCTAGCATTGTCTTTTTTCATTGCCTTTAGCCAAATGTCTCTCCCTCTCTGGCTCACTCATCCTGTGTCGCTTTGTCTGTCTGATTCAGATTCAAAATAATGCTTTACATTGCCAAAGCATTTGTAACATTATAAACATGCACATATGTACATTACATTATAATTTTCCATTAGATTTTTACATGGTTTCTGGGTTAAAAGCATATGGCAAACTATTTACCACACACTATCAATAAGAATATCATATAATATTTTTGGTTTGTATAAATGAACATACTATTTACAGAATGTAACACCAAATAATAGCAAATTCAATTTGATAAGTTTTTAAAAAAAATTTAATTTGATACTATGAAATGTTATTGTCAATAGTTGCTTTCTTTTCGAACCATTACTCATCAAATCCTCAATAAACACTGCAGGGGCCATGAAGGTTGCAAGGAGGTATAAATTTAATTTAACTAAGCTAAGTGTTTACTAAAAAGTGGCTCACTCACATATCATCATCATCATTTTGAGTTCATTTTGATCCAGACATGAGTGGCTTTGTCGAAGTGGGTGAGTTGTTCACTCTGTAATTAATTAGTCAGTCCATTTTCACCAAGCCTGACGCATTCAGGTCTATTCGCAGACTGGCTGCGATCATGATAGTTGGGCGTTATCGAATTGACAGGGTAATCAGCCAATCACAGTGACGTGGAGGCACCACCTACTTTTATGTGATCTTTTGCTGTTATTTTTTTCATTACCCCTCACATTTGCTCTTAAAAAACATGGCCTTAGATGTATTAAGACATATTTTGTAACTCTTTTTTTAAGTACTGTTGATTATTTTCTGCTGATGGTACACATTACGCAATTTTATAAATAATAAAAGTAGAATAAATAGAATGAATCAATAATATAATAATAATAAAACTATTCCAAAACGATAAAAGTGCTTTCTCTCTTCCATTCTGTACTATTCTCTGGGTGCATACGGAAAGTGGAAGGGTTAGCAAGCAGCAAAGCGCAGGTTAATTAGTGTGCCATAATTAGGGTGTCTCTGTCATTTTGTATGTCTGTAGCGTAAAAGACGGCAAGAGCAAATAAGCATGCCGCGCAAAGTGAGATGAAAGCTCAGGACAGGAGAGACAGATCAGTGAGAGATGAGAGAGGGGTAAAAAACACAGATGTGACCAGTGAAAATCGAGCACAAGAGAGAGAGAGAGCGGCTGCAGTATGGGACATGCAGAAGTTTTGTCAAAGACATCCTGATGGTTCATTCCCTGTTAAATTTACTCTAGACTCACATTAAGTTCCAAGGGCAAGAAATTGTGTCAATGCGTTAGTGGATTTTTTGTATTCGTGCTGTTCTGCGAAGGCAATACAAGCTCCATTAGGAACCAATTAAAATGGCAAGGATATATTTGTGTGTGTGTGTGTGTGTGTGCATGCTGACTCAGAAAAGAAAGTCCCTATGCAGCCACCATCTGTTTGCCATGACGTGTTACTCATCGAACAATAACAACAATGGCAAGAAAAGAATACCAGTAGGGAAATGACACACACCTTCTCGTGATTTTGCTCCAGGTATTCTCTCACTGTTCTCAGGGCAACTTCGACTGCTTGATCAGGTGGATATCCTGCACCACACCACACATCATCCAACACATGAACACAATACACATCAGATTTATACTAGAACTTTTAATCAATTAACATGTTTAAATTATGATTATTAAAAAAGACTAAAAAAGGGATAGTTCATCCAAAAATTTTAATTCTGTTATTAATTACTCACCCTCATGTCGTTCCAAAACCATAAGACCTTTGTTCATTTTTGGAACACAAAGTAAGATATTTTTGATGAAATTCAAGAGCTTTCTGACCTTCCATAGACAGCAATGCAACTGACACGTTCAAGACCCAGAAAGGTGGTAAGGAAATCGTTAAAATAGTCCCGTTAAAATAGTAAAATGTTAAAATAGCAAAATGTGATATCAGTGGTTCAATCTTAATTTTACGGTGCTACGAGAATACTTTTTGTATGCAAAGAAAACAAAAATAATGACTTTATTCAACAATTTCTTCTCTTCCACATGCAAGCGTCGTGGTACTCTCGTAAACGCGCAGTGGAGACTGACACGGAAGAGAAGAAACTGTTGAATAAAGTCATTATTTTTGTTTCTTTATGCACAAAAAGTATTCTCGTAGCTTCATAACATTATGGTTGAACCACTTATGTCACATGGACTATTTTAACAATGTCCTTACTACATTTCTGGGCCTTGAAATTGTCAGTTGCGTTGTTGTCTATGGAGGGTCAGAAAGCTCTTGGATTTAATCAAAAATATCTTAATTTGTGTTCCAACGATAACCGAAGATCTTACAGGTTTGGAACAAGATGAGGGTGAGTAATTAAGGACAGAATTGTCATTTTTGGGTGAACTATCTCTTTAAATTATAATGCGCTGAATGACTAAATAAATAACCACAATCAATTGCACCCATATAAAGATAAATAAGACATTATTGAGGCAGATGAGAAAATGAATTTATTTTTATAATTAATCAAAAAATTATTAATTGATGCTTTAAAGTGTCATCCCCAACACAAAGTAAATGAAAACAGCCTTGATATTTTTTATAGATATACACATTACTTTTATTGTAATGATCTAACTTGTATGATTAACCAAGAGGCATCAACATGTTCACACCTTGTCAGCACTCACAATTCTGCCGATGCACGGCACCATATTTTCTGCTTGAGGACTTGAAAATGAATTACTGATGGTAGTTGTTTTCAAACTGAAGCTGTTTGCCGGGTTCATTTTTGAGTTTAATCTTGACACGTATAGCTAAGAAGGGGGATTATAATCACAGTGACATGCTCTCGCACCTAATCTCTCCTAATCTGACCGTCTAATCCCACCCTTAATCTGAAAATCCCTCATACTACTGCAAGTGATATCCACTCCCAGAATTCCTAAAATGAGGTTCCTGCTACATAAACCACCACAAATTAGAACACATGCATGAGCACGGAGGTCACATCATAGCTGAGGTTCATAAACGTACCATTGATTAGGTTAGATAGAGTGTCATAAACACTGGGGGTGAAGTATCATTGATGTTAGCCCATAAATGTGGTTAATGAATGATCATAGGTTTTAATAATAAATGAGCCCATTGAAAACTCTAAATCAACCAACCTGTAATGAATTACACACAGTCATTTATAGACTATGAATACAAAGGACATAAGACAGAGACAAAGTAATTAAAGATGAAAAATAAACATTGATTGAGAAATAAAGCTGTAATTTGCACCTACCATACACTCCAGTAGAGATGCAGGGAAAAGCCTAGACATCAACATCAAAGAAACATAAAAAGAAATATAGATTTACAGTAATTGTTTTATCATCTGTGTATGAACCACTAAACGCTTCTTTAAATAAATGTGTTGTATTATAATAAAAGAAATTAAGGTTTACAAAGCACTTATTGTTGGACCTATTAGTACAAAACCACAACAAAACAACAGCTTTTACAAGGGAGGATGAATGAAAATTGATTAATTACAACCCATTAAAGATACAATCCATTACTAATGACAACGAGCTACTTGTGCCCTAGAATTAAGGGCCTTAAAAACAAAAGCTTTACTTAAAACAAATGGACCGAGTCACAGACAATTGTTGGTGTTTTAAAAGCATTTGCTGCTAAGGTACCACTTTGTGTCTTGCAAACCCCAGCACGTATATGGATAGCACTTTGAAATCAATTAAGGGAATGAAATTTCTGTCATTTACTCTCCTTCATGTTCTTCCAAACCTTGAATGACTTACTTACTTCTGGGAACACGAGATACATTGCTGAAAGTCCTGGCTGCCACTTTTCCATACAATGAAAGTGAATGAGGATGGGGGATGTTGAGCATAAAAATAACAAGAGACTGTTGCGTTCGCTTCATTCTGTTCCAGAGCTATCAGAGGACTTGTAATGATACTTTTAAGTTCATTTTGAGCTCAATTACCACCTGCCTCCTTGCACTTATATGGAAGAGCAGCCAGAACATTTACCACAACAACTTTTGTGTTTGATGGAAAATAATTATGCAGGTTTGAAATGACCAGTTTTGTTTTTGATAATTACAACTTCAATAATTGAAATTAAGATGAAATAAATATGAAATAAAATACAAGTATTAGAAAAATCAAACAAAAATCAAAAATAAGAATTAAACTAATATTAATTCAACTATAACTAGAATAATATTTAATTAAAAATATATAGCAATACAAAAACTGATAAAATTATTAAAATTTCAAATAAAAATTTAATAAAAACTGAAAATATCAAATAAAAGCTCATTCAAAATACTAATAAATACTATAAAAATAATGCTAAAATATCACTGGAAATGAGTGAGTAAATTATGAGCATTTTTTAGATGAACTATTCCTAATAATAACACTTGGTTAAAGGTATTTTTTCACAGTGAACACCAGTTACATAAAGATAAACAGGAAGTCCCCATAAGATATTATGATGCTGCAGCACTCCTTCCTGAGAACCTTAATGATAGATCTTAGCTGTGCCTGTGTGTATTTTTATCCTTGCTGCTGCACTGTGTTAAAATCTTTTATACATGCAGTAAACTGTCTTCAATAAATCAATCTCTGAAAGAAATAAAGCTGAAACGGCTCTCAACTGTTTTAGTAGATTCATATAAAAATTGTTAGGGCACCAGTGGAATGCGAGTTATGCGCTGTGTTATGACTGGATTGCTGGCATTTTGATTCTCATACCCTGATGCAGCTGTGAGATGTGAGTGATACAGGGTGAGAGTTTAACATGTTAACTGTGTGTACCTGAGTTTATGTGCAACCAGTGTGTAAGGTTCGAGAATGCGTTGGGCCATTAAAATTGCATACAAGTAGCTATGTCCCAGCCAAGACACGAAGTCTGAATCTGTTATGAGTGTGTGAGATCCTCACCACAGTCCGCAGGTGATTCTTAGTTGCTGTGTGCAGACAGTTATAATAACAGTTTCTCAGAGCTTGTTCCTCTCTGTCCCCCACTGAATCATGGACTATCGGCCCCACAGTGTGAATAACATCTGTGAAACAGAGAGATAAAGCCAAAGACAGAAAGAAGTCATACAAAAATATCAGAAAAATATGTGACTGTGTTATATAACTCTAACTTCCTGTCTGTATGTCCTGTCAAGTGATTTTTTAAAAAGTGATTATTTTTTTCAGTTTATCTAAATTTTAAAGATTGCAATCTGAGCATATTCTGAATATAACAAAAAATAAACAAACAAAAATGGATTATTTAGAATGATATTATATATTTATATTATTTAGGTCTATTAAATGCTAAAAAATGTTTTACAAATATGTTAAAGCACTATAAATTACCTATTTTAACCTCGATAGCAAAAAATGTTCCATTTAATAATGGTATCAGTATATCAATATCAGTAATATTGGCCTTGACAGATCTTGGCCTTTGTATTACAGTGCGACCTACTTACAGAAATAACAGATTGCTATTGGAAGGGTCTTTTGGCTTGTTTCGTCTGATGACTTATGATAATATATGATGATATATTACTCCACAACATCGAAATATCTCATCGCAGTAATTGCTGTACTGATAGATGCTGTCAACACCTGAGGTGATGTTCAATCTTTCATCATAGTAAGCAACAGTTTCTGGCACAATTATTTAAAATAAATAATATTTATAAAAGAGTAAAATCATATGGAATCAGCTTCGAGCTGCATAATTGATTTCACAATCTTTTTACTGGCATGTTACCACTATTTACTGTAATAACTGTAGTAATGCCAGATTCTAAGAACTGTTGGCAGATTCTATGGTTTCCATGGTACAAATTAATAAGAGCAATAGGAAACAGCTCAAGAGCATCAAATTTCCTATTCTAGTTCAAAAAGAAAGTTATGAATTTTATGCAAGACGTTTTGCTTTTAAATCTAAAATGTAAAAGTGTTTAAATGAAAATCAGTTTTCTAAGTCTGTCAAAGAATATGATTATTTAAATCATTATTATAAATGTCTGTACTGCAATTGTTTCACTCATAAAAGCTACCAAATGAATACAGTAAAAAGCTTTCGTAAGGCCTTCAGTAAAAGAAAGCTGAAGAACCCCTGATGTGTCACACAAACTTATTTATGCATTGTGTCTAGACTTTTGATTAGCTCTCCTCTTATGCACTTACACTAACTGCACTTTCTGTTTGTTGTTCCCATCTCTGCCATCTGTTTCTCAATTACTAAAGCCCCACTTGTCTCAGTCCTGCACCCTCTCATCTCAATTTCCTGTTTCCTCCTCCCATTGACACTCAGCTCAACCGCAGGCGTCGTGTCCGTTTCCCTTGTCCTCCTTTTCCATCTACCTTCTGTCTAAAACATCCATCCATCTGTCCTCTCAATGTCTCGTGTCCTTGCGTGTCACATCTGTGGCATGTCCTCAATCTCTCCCCTTTGCCCCACTTGTCCTTTGGATGTCCAGCAGCCCACCGTCAGTTACACTCCCACTCCTCTTTCCCTCATTCATCCACCCCCCACATCCCTCCCCGACACCTCTCTGCGCTGCGTGCTGTCCGGCTGTGTTTATTTACCGCTGCACTCTGCAGTGTTTACAGCATCGATCCACCTCTGTGTGTTTAGTCCAGCCTCACCATCATACATCAAGTCGGGCAGAGACATTACTCACACAGAAACACACACACACACACACACACACACACACACACAAACATAAACACACCAAGGCTTGCAGACACTCGCATATGAAGTGCAAAAGGAAAGAATGGACAGGAACTAGAAAACAACAGAGAACAGTGGGTATATGTTTGACTGGAAGTACAGTGTCACAAAGCGTTGTCATGTTTGTGGCACAGCGTGATCTGCTAAAGTGGGTGCAGAAGGAAGAGAGGAAGAGAGACAGGATGACATAATCACCGCAGACACAGGTGCAGCTGGAGGTTAAAGCAAACTACAAAAAACTGCCGGGAGGTTCAGATATCGCACTGCTCAACTCTCCCACTGTCGCTCCTGTATGTTCTCTAAAACAAACACATACAAGCACACTTACAACAGAGCGTGTGTGGGGAAGAAATGAACATTTTCTACAGAGTTCAGAGTTAGAATGTTGCATAATGTAGATTCAGAACCTTAAAAGAACCATAATTTCTGAAACGCATAATTTAAGCTGTAAATCGGATGAGTTACCTTTCGTACCTGTTGTAAAGTCTATTTAAATAATAATACATGCAAGAAGTACAGTGTGTGTGTGTACTTATGCATGTCAGGGTTTCAACACAAAATAAAAAATAAAGAAATTACATATTTATACATCTATATTTATATTTTTTATTTAAAGGGATAGTTCACCCAAAAAGAAAATTCTGTCATTAATTACTCACCCTCATGTCATTTCATTGTTGTTCATCTTCAGAACACAAATTAAGATATTTCTGATGAATTCTGAGAGCTCTCTGACCCTCTATAGACAGCAAGGATACTACTATGATCAAGATCCAGAAACATAGCAAGGACATCGTTAAAATAATGCATGTGACATCAGTGGTTCAACTGTAACTTTGTTTTTTATTGCACACAAAAAGTATTCTCGTAGCTTCGTAAAGTTATAGTTGAACCACTGATGTCACATGGATTATTTTAACGATGTCCTTGCTATGTTTCTGGATCTTGATCATAGTAGTATCCTTGCTGTCTATAGAGGGTCAGAGAGCTCTCAGAATTCATCAGAAATATCTTAATTTGTGTTCCGAAGATGAACGAAGGTCTCACGGGTTTGAAACTACATGAGGGTGAGTAATTAATGACAGAAGTTTTGGGTGAACTAACCCTTAACATTTGTGTTGTAACCTGACATACATATGAAGAGACACTCGTATTTTGTATATAAATTATAATAGTATATATAATTTATTTAGCAACAAGTGATTTATATATGTGACCCTGGACCACAAAAATGTAAAAAGATTTATACATCATCTGAAAACTGTTGATGTATGGTTTGTTAGGATAGGACAATATTTAGCTGAGATACAGCTATTTGAAAATCTGAAACCTGAGGGTGCAAAAAAATAAATTGCATTTAAAGTTGTCCAAATGAAGTTCTTAGCAATGCATATTACCAATCAAAAATAATGTTTTAGTATATATACAGTAGGAAATTTACAAAATATCTTTATGGAACATGATCTTTACCTAATACCCTAATGATTTTTGCCATAAAATGAATTTTGACCCATACCATGTATGGTTGGCTATTGCTACAAATATACCCATGCTACTTATGACTGGTTTTGTGGTGCAGGGTTACAAGATATATATATATATATATATATATATATTACATGGTGTATTTAAATTAGCTGCATGGCTGTATCTAAAATTAATTAAGGGCCAATAAAATGCTAACACAACACACTAAGAATTTTTATTTATTTATTTAAAAATACATATTGAAATAAATAAATAAACTAATTTAGTATTTATTTAGTTAATTATAATTTAATACTAATACTTATTGTATTAGTATTTTATTGCCCCTTATTCATTTTAGAAACATTTATTTTCTATTTACATATTTAAATGAACAACATTTATTGCATTTCAATACTTTTTGTGGCTTTTTACTTTAATATATGCTGGGTCACAGTATTAGTGTGCATGTGGTCGTACAGCCTGTCTTCTAACCCATTTTATTTCTCCATAGTTTCCTGATCCTGAGAAAACACACTGTTCTTTCTCCCATACTGCACACCAAAACCTGACAACACCCATAACGTATTGATGAATCTACTCCAAACTTGCTATTATCAAGCTCTAAATCACTCCTCTGTTTGTTCCCCCCTCCTTCCCTCCTTCCTCCTGCCTGCTCGCCTTTCTCTTCCCTCCTCTCCCTCCCTCTCAGTGAAAGGTTGTCTATCTTTACGCTACCAAGTCTCACTGTTCACTCATCCAGACCAAACCCAAGTCTCCTGTCTCGCGCACAAAGGGAGGCCCTGGACTCTCCCACCAAACCCCCTGGAGAAAAAGTCACTGTGCACAACTATATGCTCATTCTGCAGCAGGGGAGCAGGGGAGCAGGTGCGTCGATTTAAAAAAGGCAGCCAGCTTAGACGAACTGCTTATCATCTGAAAGGTCCGAAGGTGTTTCACTCACTTTTTGTGTTTCTCTCGTTTTCTCAAATTCAAATCTGCTTGACAGCTGAGTTACAATGTACCAGCAGTCACCGGCCGATCGAGCATGACGGGCCGCACAATAGATCGCTCTCCTTTCACCTTGGCTTTCAACCGATCGGTTTTGACAAGAGAAGGCTGTGATTTTCAGAAAGCTGCGGCCCAAAATTAACTCAAAATAACAGCCTGGAATCTGAGGTCATTATAAACATACACTGTATTTAATTTGGATTATTTAATAAATATAATTAAGTAATTGAACCTTGTTATTCATCCAGTCTATGAGCAAAAGACGGATGGAGGGAGAGAGAGAGAAAAAGGGATTAGTTAAATACCAGGAGAGAAGGGTGGGTGTTCGATTGGCCTGTGTGGATTTTAATTAGTGTTAATTGGCCACAGAGGGAAATGAAGGCTCAGGGAGAGTGTGTGTATGTGTGTGTATTCATAAATATGCTCCACTCTTCTCTTTCTCCCCTCTAGCAATGGTTGTTTTGTATGGTTGCGTCCCTAGTCAAGGCTGTATTGGTACACAGGTGGACTTAGGGACTGACAGGAGCTTCACATTCTGCCTTTCATACATCAATGAGATCCACTGGGTTTCTAGTTCACCCCCTCAACCGGGCAGAGTATGTATTATTACTATACTTCTGTTTTACTATAAGACACAAACATACACTCCCATATCCTCATCCAACAGATGTGCGAGCACATGCGCAAACTGCAGCTGAGGCAGTCAAAACATGACAATACTCTATACAAACACTCAAATCTCAGATTTCATTTAGAGGATTTTGCCTGTAATTAGAAATGCTTTCCAATAGTATAACGCATACTTTGGGTTCAAGCTGAAGTATATAATTTCTGTGCCACCAAACAGAACTGCAAAAACAAACATTGTTTTCAAAAAAAGATCAACCTTCGATTCAACAAACTGATAGCCCAGCCCCCAACTCACACCATTGGTTGAGTGAGTGTTGTCATGAAGGACAACAATAGGGGAAATTTCATAGCACCACAGAGACATAATATTTACTGTCTTCGAGAAAAATAACCTTGAATAGCATAACCTACTTACAGTTGTCTCTGGATATTAAGCTGAGATAGAAGAAAGTATTTAAATGCTGAAAAAGTTATATAATTCAGCTTTGATGGTTTAAAAAAAAAAACTCTAAAAATGAAATGTTTGCACTGTTGTCCCAAACTCATAAGTCAAATTGGTAACACTTTAGTATAGAGACAAATTCACACTATTCAACTAGTTAATTATTAGCATGCCTATTGGCTATTTCTTAGCACATATTCTGCATGACCATATTCTACATCCCTAATCCCTAAATTTAACAATGACCTTATTATTAATAAGCAGAAAATTAGGAGTTTATTGAGGCAAAAGTCATAGTTAATGTTAGTTAATGAAGTCTAGTGAAGAGATGCAGTCACTTTTTATAATTTACAGATTAAATTTATGTTTTTTTTTTGTTTGTTTTTTTTAATTTATGGGTCTGAAACAACATCAGGGTGAGTAAATGATGACAATTTAAATTTTAGAGGTGAACTCTCCCTTTTAACTTGTTCTTGCATTGGATATGATTGACATTTCAAATCTTTCAGCATGTTCAGCTGAGGTTTGCTATTACTTTTCCAAATGACCAGTGCATTTATAATCCGGTTGATGACATAATGGGTGAAAAAACACCATAGATTTGCACTGAAGGAGTGACCTGAGTCATATTTAAAGCCCAGACAATGACACTTGGAGATTGGCTGAACACCCAAGCATTTGTGGCAGCCAATTTTGCATAGACAAATTTCAGAACATGTAAAAATCTAGTGAGAGAGAGTGGGAATGAACTCGAACCCACACCAGCAGAAAACTTTAATTTTGAAATGTTACATTTTACAGCTCACAAATCACAAATAGCACAAACACCTGTTGGTACATAACTTATAATCAGATCAGTCATTATACAGGCAGTGTGCGGTGGGCGCAGTCAGACACAAACACTAATTTCAGTCCTGCAATTACTGCTGATATTTACTGTTCTACTTCCCACAGTTTAGTACAGTTCAAAGAGAGAAGATGAGAAAGAAAAACGAAGTTGGAGAGAAAAATCAACTAAAATATGAAGTAAATCCTAACAAAGAGCATAGCCTAGAGTGCGAGGCAAATCATCGATGTGTATCCGTGTGTGTTAATGTATATATGTGTGTGTTGTTGGCAGGGGGGTTTGTGGCTGGAGAATCAGCAGCGTGTGCATCTCTGTCTCCGAACAGCTAGGTACGGTGGGGGGGATCATAAATTAGACAAGGAAATTACTGCTAAGTGTGCGAATAAATTAAAGTGCGCTTGCTTCTGTAAACACTGTCTGACTACATAATTACTGAACACTCTCTGGAAGAGTGAAAGAGAGGGAGGGAGATGAATGGGGGGAGGGAGGGTGGGAGAATGATAGGCAAAAAGGTTTGTGTTGATGGTTTATTCATTTATTCATATGGCAGCGTGCAACGTGTATGCAACCGTTTGACATTTCACTAGAGAGGTTGCACAACACCTGCTTACAATCGTAAGACGGGAAATGAAAAACCGTGCAAAAAAATTTACTTTATGACATTTATCAAGTGTAATTTAGTTTCTACAGAAGTATGGTGCTGACTTTGAAGCGATCAAGCGTAAACACAGGCAAGGTTTATCCATCCAGCGTACTGGAAAAGTTGCTCAGGTTTAATTCTACCAAATGATTCTGAATTCATCATCCAACATTACAGAGTTCAAAACATTTCAGACTGATGTTTATATGCCATTTGTATGATGATTGGTGTGTTTCATGAGCGACTCACATTTTGCAGGCAGACCGTAGGCTCCGGTGATCTTGGCCTCCCCCATTTCACAGCCGTTCAGAGTGGCACATTCCTTCCTCAACAGAGGACCAGCCCCACGATGAATGGCACCATCCACTGAAAATTTGAAAATATTTTATTATATGTAATATGTATATATGTGTGTACTTAACCATATCTTGGGGAGAAATTTGCACCCAGAAAACATGCATAAAAATGCAGTAAATATTTTTTAATATTATAAGGCAATAATAAGGCAATAATATGCCTATGTAAATTTCCTAATTACTATATATATATATATATATATATATATATATATATATATATTTCCACTGCAATTAAACAACATGCATATTTGCAATTTGCATATTTTTTAACCTGGATAAATATGATTTGCAGGCAGCTGTATATGATGAGCTCTTCCTAATATTGCATGACAACAATTATGCAGTTCACTAGATTGGTTTACCCAGTGACACATCTTACCCCACTCTCCCCTAGAGAAACACAGTAATGCTGATGTTTTTTTACAAACCCAACTCACATTTATCATTTGAGGACACAAAAAAAATCTGATTTCTCATAGCACTGAGGGCAGCAATTTGAGGACCATAACAGTTTTACTCAAGGGTTTTTTAGCACCCTGGCACTTTTGCTGATATGTGCTCAGAATCTGCAGGAGCGAGAGATAGAGTGATAAAAAGATAGAAAGATAGGGAATATATACTGAGAAACACCATAGAGAGAGTGAAGTGGAGGAAAAAAACAGAGAGAGAGACGGAGGGACAGATGGAGGGAAGTTGTACTCAGGGCTTTGGAGTGGAGGAAAGGAGGATGAGAGGAAGGAATAAGGGAAAAGATGCGAATGTGGTGACGAGGTACGCCTGTTGGGAATAGTTTGCCTTCCTGTGTAATTGCAACATGCATGCACACACACTTTTTATATTACACAGACATCTTGTTAGCAGGTGCTAATTGGCTTCTTGCTTACTTGACAAGGGGTTTGTGACATGGAAAAAACATATAATATTTTCCTATATTGCACGCACAGCTTTTTTTCAGTCCTCATTCACATGTGCTCTTTACATGCAACATCTAACCACATGCACACACACAACATTTCTGCATACAAAAGCATTCGTTAACAGTTGTTCTCAATTTCCCATCAAATCAGTTTGGCTTGGACTGAGCGGCACTAACAAGTGTTATTGAAAACACACCCTTTTATTGGCTGAGCTGGTCACCATGGCAGCCATTAGTAAGAGCATTTGATTGGATCTGGCACATCTGCTTGCCCGTGTCACAAATCCCTCGACACCAAAGCACTATCTCTCTCTAAACACTCGCCCGGCGCTCTGGGTTTTCAACCAGAATACCAACATTCCACTCAATGCCAAGTGGAGGACAGAACACACACATTCTCACTCAAAAAATGAAACAATCAATCAATACTTATCCATGTGTGGCTTTCCAGGTTGCTAAAAACAGGGCAAAGAAATCTCATTAACAGACTTCAAGAAGATTTAAAAAGGAGCCATACGCCAAAATACAGCATTACACCACAAACGCAACAAAATCCCCAAAGAGACTCTAATGTCACACAATCTGGAGCTCTCTCAGCTCTGAGCATCAGGACTGATGTATCCCACTGTAATAAACAGAAAATTTTGATTGCCTGTGCCATTTCCAAGTATGATCCATTTGACCAGGAACGCAGAAAATCCAGCATGAATTATTTTTATCACTCACTCACTCACTCACAGCCTCTCTTTCTTCCTTCCTTATTCACTTTAATTTTCCATGTTTCTTCCTTTCATTTCCTGTCTCGTACATAGCAAAGTTGTATTATGCAGTATTTTTGTCTGGTTTTCCAGTAAAAATATCAGAACATCCTTTAAAGTTTATAGAAAGATCATACAGTATATATATATATATATATATATATATATATATACCTCTCTCAAGGCAAAATTGTGATAAGACTTACAACAAGGTAATAAGACAATCACACTTGTTTTTAGAGAATATTAAATACAAATTTCAAACCCCATTGGCAAATTACAGTATAAACCCCACTACACTGTGACATTTATGCTTAAAAATAACAGACATTCTCTGAAACAACATTTACCATATACAGTACATTATCATATTATATTATATCAGATTATTGTATAATTGTTTTGCTTCTCAAGTGATTAAAGAATACATCTTGAATGAGTCTTAGTTTTCTAATGTCAATGGCAAATAGTTTTGTTCTTCTTGTCTCAAGCATAAATCTAAAAAATTTATGTAGTGAGTGTAGCGCTTTGAACAATTTACCAGTGAGGTAATAAAAATAAAAGATTATTTAAGATCTTAGATTAGGTTTATTTAAAAAATAAACCTAATTTAAGACATATTCTCTGAAAAAAATCTTGTTAAATTGTTCCAAGCTAATTTCGTTTTAAGGATGTTTAGATATCATTTTTGGAATAAGAAAAGACTAAAATACTTAATAAATTGATTTTTGCAGTGCATCAAAAATGCTGACTGAGAATAGATGGTGCTAGAGTTTGAAAAACAGTATCCGAAACAAACTATACATGACAGTACAACACATCCTAACTCATCCATTCTTTTCTTTATTCTGTCCTCTGTTGTTTTAAACACATCCTCTTGTTTTTGCCCTCAGCTTTAGTGCTTTTCCTGCTTTAAACACCAACAGGCAGAGGCTAACCCCTCATCTCTCTCTCTGCATGCAATGCTCTGAGGCTGTGTCCTCCCTGATGTATAGTTTGTCCCTGCCTAATTATCACCCAGGTTTGCCTTAACAAACCTCAGGAGCGGAGCCAACAAAAAGAGAGGGAGGGTTTGCGAGTGCGAGGAACCCGATGTGTTTGCGTATTGGCGACAAAAATAGAGAGAAAAGAGGTGTTGGAGTGTTAGGAAGTGAGGAGAAGAGCTGATAGGGTAGGGCAGAGAGACAGAAGGATGGGTGCGGAGTAAAACAGAGAGAGCGAAAGGGAGATGGAAGACTGTTAATAAATAACAATTTGGTCCCTCGATATTCTCTTTGCCACCGTGAAATTTTCTCTTAGTCTCTCCAAGTGTAAATAAATACGGCCGGGAAGTAAGAAAACACACAGTCCATGTATTCTCAATACTTCAATTTATTCACAGAAATACAGATCTTATATAGGCATGTCGAGGGGAGTTTTTACCCTCTTAACCAATGAGGATAGGGTGACATACCCATACAGGATGTTTTTCCCAAGAACATGTGTTTTGTATAAAATTGCCACATATACAGAAAAACATATCCATATAAGGAATAGACTTCCTTTACCTTGAATATTGCGTAAGAGACATTCAAACACCATACAAGAGAGAGAGAGAACAGATAGAGGAGGGGTGATTCAGAGAAGGAGAGAGAAAGAGTGAGAAAGGAGGGGTACGGCATCAAAAGACAGAGAGTGTTTTCTAACAAAGACATGCAGAGGCACGAACTGATAGTGAGGTTTAAAACGAGGGAGGTGAAGGTCAGGCCTAAATCAATCGCATTTGCCATTTGTGCTTGAGGAACTGCATAAAAAAACCCCAGGTCAATATACAGCAGTGCGCACTTCTGAACTTGTGTTTGTGTGTGAGGGACGTGGTTCTGATGAGTAGGATTCTCAAGTGCAGATTTATCACTGGTATTGATTAGCTAACGGGCAGGCACTTAACACAGGCAGAGAGCAAGAGCGGCACATGCTTACAACACACACATGCATTCGCACAAATACTGAGTCAACAGTTGGAAATTTCTGTTAATTTGCATAGCACTCTACTATAGTAAATTACATTTGTTAGATTTTGCAATGCACTTTCAAAATACACACACACCTCTCACACAGACAGAGTATGTACACTGCCATTTCCATTCAAAAGTTTGGGGTGGGTAATTTTTTTAAATGTTTTTAAAAGAAGTGCCTTATGCTCACAAAGGCTGCATTTATGTGATCAAAATACAATAAAAACAGTGTTATGAAATATATACAATATATTTTAAAATGTAATTTATTCCTGTGATGGCAAAGCTAAATTTTCAACCGTCATTCCGTCTTCAGTATCACATGATCCTTCCGAAATCAGTCTGATATGCTGATTTGTTTCTCAAGAAACATTTCTTATTATTAATGTTGAAAACAGTTATGCTGCTTAATATTTTTTGTGGAAATTGCGATACATTCTTTGATTAATAGGAAGTTCAAAATGAACAGCATTTATTTGAAATAAAAATATTCTAATATGATAAATGTCTTTACTGTCACCCTGTGATCAAATTAATACATCCTTTCTGAATGTAATGATTTCTTAAAAACATTTTGAACGGTAATGTATATTAGATTTAACATAACACATTTCAAGTTTGAAGTTAGTTTAAAAATTTGAAAGCACAAAATAAGACATGTACAATTATCACAGCTACTGACAGTGCTGGCATTTCTAAAGCAATGCTTATTTATAGTGTCACACATGACAGCTTATTGCAGTTTACTTTTAAATGGTTCATAATTTACTAGAATTTTTACTTTGTGATAATGACTACATTATCTTGCTACAAAATAAAATAATAAATAAATAAATACAATAATTAAAACTCAAAGTAATAGCTTATGTTCATTTATTTATCACATATTACCATATTTTATTTATGTGAGAAGAAACAGGTTGCACAGAATGCCATAATTTGCCAATTAGGAACAAGCATTCAAAAGAAGGATGTTTTTTTATTTTTTGAATGTTGTCCTGAAGGGATAGTTTACCCAAAGATGAACATTCTGTCATCATTTACTTATCTGGAACACAAAGGAAGATATTTTGAAGAGCACTGGGGTCCAAGCAAGGTTTGATTTTCATTGTATTGGATAAAAAAAGTTTTTCAAAATATCTTCTTTTGTGTTCTACACAAGAAAGAAATGAATACAAGTTTGGAAGGATATGACGGTGAGTAAATGATGAGAGAATTTTCATTTTTATGTGAACATTTTCCTTAATACTGTCAAGATGGTTTAGCAGCTAGTCTGGTGAAACCACGTGTGCTGATATGAGATAGCTACTGTTGCTATTTCAGGTGAGAGGTGATTTCACACTGTGCACAATCTATTGGAAAAACAGTTGTTACATGTAACACACTCATTATTTAGAATCTCTTGAGAGCAGGAACATTACAAGACTGTAACTAATGACTAAAAGTGCCATCTGAGATAATTGCAGACGTAGTTACGGATCCTCAGGAGAAAACGACTTATTTGATGGGCTGTAGTTTATATGTTGGATGTCTAACAATGTCAGTATTGCCCTGTTTGTTCTTACAAACAATGCTACAATACTATCATGAAACATGTTCAAAAATAGATAGAATTACCATGGTAGCATATCCAAAACACCATGGCAGCTTGATACTGTTTTTGTCCTTTAAATATTAGTTAAGACTTAACTGTTCATGCAGCTGCAATGCCAAAGAAGCTCATTGTTTGATGAATATGTGTATGTACAGATAGATGGGTGAAATCTCAAGGCTTTACTGTATTTCTGAAAAGATCTACCATCTTGTCAGATCAAAGTACTGTTTAATATATCACAGCGAGCAAACGGTTTCGAAAAAGCACAGTCTCTCTTTAATTCTGCCTTTTTATTCAGAATCTGCTGATGAATTGTTTTGTGTGTGTGTGTGTGTGTGCGTGCGTTGGGAGGGAAGGGCCGCTCTATCAGAGATGGTTTAAGAGTTTAGCGCTCATTTCATCTCACTGGGTCTCTAATCGCTCTTTTGCTCCTCAAATAGCGCCTCTGTTCTCACTCACGGAGCTATCAGAGATCGTCTGTTCAAATTCTGAAAAGTGCTAAGCCTCAGGCTGACAACAGCTCCCATCACACATACGTTCTCGCTCTCTTACCTTTATTTCCACCTGCTGATTCTCACTTGCTCTCTTTCACCTTCTAATTCCTCTCACCTCTCCAATGCTTCTCTCCTCTAATGTCTTTTCCCTCTTGAGCTGTGTCTAGATTCGTCTCATTCAGCCTCAGAAAAAGAGGGGGAAAAAGAATTGACTCACCTCCTCCTCCACCCAGAAGTGTCTTGTTAGCTGAAACAACAAAAAGAAAACAGAGCACTCTTCAGGGAAGATGTCAGAGACATTACAGCAAGAAAAACAGTGACTTAAAACCAAATTAATGCCTTACTGGTGACTGAAAATACAAATTCAATCTGAGGGGAGAAGGTCAAGGATGAGAATTAGTTGAAGGACTTAAACTCAATATTAATACTCCACTGTTCAAAAAAGTTTGGAGTCAGTAAGATTTTTTAAAATGTTTTTGAAAGATGTTTCTTATGCTCAACATCTTCATTTAATAAAAAAATTGCTTAAAAACTGTATTGAATTACTGTGGTGGCAAAGCTAATTTGGTGCTCAAGTAATATTTCTTACTATCATCAATATTTAAAACATTTGTGCTGGCTAATAATTAAACATATTTACTGTGACTTCTGACAAATGTGTCCTTGCTAACAAAAAATATGAATTAGTTAAAAAAAATCTTCCTTACCCCAAACAGAAAGGTGGTGTATATACACTTTTCATATATAATATAATATAATATAATATAATATAATATATTAAATACATACATAAATATTTCTCATTATATGACCCCTTTAAATGTTAAGCTCCTTTGTCAGACTGTATAGATGCAAAACGCAGCCGTAAACCTGGTTATCCAAAGTGCTAATTGACATTTCCATCAATTCAGTAAAAAGCAGGGTCTTGAACCTGTGTCATGGGTGAAATGAAAGCCTTTATCCAATTTTACAAATTAAACTTGTAGATACAGAGCTGCTTTTTCATTACAAGACCTAAATGATAGACAATACATACATATAGTTTTTGTCTATCAGTATTCATTTCAATAAAAAGGAAAAATTGCATCTGTTCACAACAGGGCTGAGCATTTGAGTTCAAGTATGAGGCTGGTTGCACAACAAAGCAGCACTGAAACAACATTGTTTCATGATCAGACAGTGAAGTTAAAACACAAATGAGCAATAAGATTGCTGATTATTTTTTCCCATTTAAAATTCATTTCACCTCTGCACACGGACATTAAACCGCATGATAAGTGACGAGCTTATGAGCCAACAAATAATTTACCAGATGGAGTTAATGTAAGCCCAGACAAACACAACCGAATAGACACACAGCCACTGAAAAAAAGGACAAACACACACACGCACAATTTAGCAACAGAGATAGACTGACAAACAGAAAACAGTATGGAGAGAGAGGTAACCATAGCAACCCCAAAGCCCAAAGCCCAAAGGTTTGTTACTGAAACCTAGTTAATTACAGGGAGGGCAAAGGAGGAGAGATGGAGACAGATGAGAAGAGAGAGTCAGGAGAGACGGAGCAGGAAAGATGTCATTTGCAAGTGGATGTCCCTTTCTCGCCTGTCTGTCAGAGAAAAAAACTACTAGTGAGAAGAAAAAGGGATCAGATATGCACGAGGAAGGACAGAGAGCAAAACAGTGGGAGAGAGAATGAGCGAAGGCTGTAAGTTGATGATACCCCAGGGAGAGAGATTTGCCATCTGCTTAAACCCTGTGTGCAGTGTCTTACCCAGGGGAAGGGTGACAGTAGTACCATAGAGATGATGATGTTCACACACACACACACACACAACTCTGTGAGGCATATTGACATGATGAGATTGTATGCGGGAATGTGTTCACAAAATGCAATCTTCTTATTCAGAACTGTAACAACTCCTTTCAGGCAGGATGAAATGGATCTGCGATGAAAACAATGTCCATGAACATCAATACCGAGGTTGGGATTGTAAACAAAAATACGGTGCTGATTCTTACACAGCAAGAAGCAATATTATACGCCAATGATGAGTGTTTACGGGCGGATTAGGATCACAGAGAGGAATTAGAAAAAAGAAAAACAAAAGGACGAATAGCTGAGAATCAAAAAAAAGTTCAACAGAAAGTTGGGGGTGAGAGGAGGGACGGACGTGGAGGAGAGGCAGACAGAGAAAGCGAGAGATAAAAGCTGGGAGGTACAGAGGGATCAAGAATGTGCAACAACACAGGTACGGAATCACTAAATGAAAAGATGAAAAGAACAAAAGAGAAAAAAACAATTTTTCTTCAAGAAAACAGCACAGCATGAGTTTGCACCATAATACACAAGACAGAGAACAATTGAGAGTGGGTTTTTTGCTTTTTATAATAAATGTATTAATTAGAGGAGCTGACAGAAAAGTTCTAGCTCTCATTTTTCTTTTTTCCTGAAAAAAGGGTTTATACACAACTAAACAACATTTGTTTGGGTTTTTTTATTAATTTTGTTTTATTAATGGCTTAAAATAAGTAAAAAGAAAAAAAAGTATAAGTACTTATAAAAGCTAATACGGCTTATAATATTATATTTTTTCATCTTATTAATGACATGACATCACATCAATTTTTGCCTGATAAATTACCCCCTAAAAGATCATTTAAAGTCATTATTGTGTTAGTTAAGAAAAGCAGTGAACAAACAAGGTTTAGAAAGAAATACTTGAATCAACATTCCATATATAATAAACATGGGTTTTCATTGGTGAAAATGAGCAAAACAGACAATATTGACAATACTGTGCCTAAAATTAAACACAAGATTAACTTCTTGTTTGTTGAACTATTATATAATATCACTTTTTGCAACATTTGAGAAAAAAAACATACAGGAGCATTTTTTGCCCTCACATCTTGAATTTTATGGGCATATAACTGCATTCTAATATACCTCATGTAGTCAGTCGCTTGTCTTGCATCATGTTCTTTAAAAACTGTCTGCAATGTACAAGAATGACAAACCGGTCTGGGCCGGAGTGGGCTGTCTTCAATGCGTTAATTAATTTTAATGCATTATTTTTTCCATAATTAATCTCACCAAATTAACATGTCAAATCAACAGCCCTATAAAAACTAAGTATTTACAAGGAATAAGTATTTACTGTACCCATTTATTAGTCATACAAATACAACAAGCATGGGTATACAGAAAAGGTGATGGTCAAGTGTGTGGAACGGAAGTCTGTGTTTCTGAAATAGCCTGCCACCAGGGAGAGGGGGTGAAACCAGTGAGAGAGTGAGACGTCGTGTGTATGTCTGAACAGATGTCCTTAATGTCTGACACTCCAGAACCCTGCAGACACCTTGGCTTGTGCGAACCATTGCATTCATAAAAATACAAACACACATGTAGCATACTGTACATTACACAAACCTCCTCTCAGGAGGACAGCTTCATAAACATTTTATTTACTCTATGCAGGGCTACAATTACACGCAAGTCAAAGTCAATCCTACTCACAGTTCAGTGCACTGATAGCTCAGGACATGCACACTGCCTCACAGTCACATGCAGCAGAGGGAAGCCCTAACAGCAAACTGCATGCCATGCATTAAAATTTAATATGACAAAACCACAAAAAACAACACTGATGATGCTGCACAGAATCACATTATTCAAAAGGTGTATCAAAGTCTCAATGAAAAAAGTAAACATTCCATAAATTATACATTGTCAATACTCTGCAAGTGGCAAATGGGAGTAAAAACTGGCTAGTGAGTGAATAAAATTCTTTGAGAAACCAGGCTGGTAATTTTATTTAGAAATGCAAGGTTACATGGTTTATGTATGTGAGTGATCAAACACCAAGACGCCTGCTAAAGAAAATGTTTGGAGTGTAATACCTGGTGAAAATGTATTATTTTAAGTGTTGGTAGGGTTTTAATTATAATTATTTATTTAATAAAAATGAATGTTCATAGAATATGGTTATATTTTAATTTACATATAGGCCTACATAACACACACACACATATCGGCCTAAATATATATAAATAACAAAAACACACGTACTGTTAGGTTTACAAACGCATACGCATAATATAGTGCTGTGAAAAAGTGTTGGCCCCCTTCCTGTTTTTTAAATGTTTTGCATATTTGTCACACTTAAAAGATTCAGATCATCAAACAAATTTTAATATTACACAAAGATAATGCAAGTAAATACAAAATGCAGTTTTTAAATGATTATTTATTTTATTAAGGGAAAAAAGCTGTCCAAACCTGCCTGGCCCACATTTTTAATAATTTAATATATGGCTTAACGTAATATACAGTGGGTACGGAAAGTATTCAGACCCCCTTAAATTTTTCACTCTTTGTTATATTGCAGCCATTTGCTAAAATCATTTAAGTTAATTTTTTTTCCTCATTAATGTACACACAGCACCCCATATTGACAGAAAAACACAAAAGATTGAAAAATTTAAGGGGGTTTGAATACTTTCCGTACCCACTGTATATGACTATATCCTATTGAAAAATGGATGTTGTTTTGTTCGTAAGTGATCTATGTTAAAATCCGTTACTCCGCTGAGGAGATGAAGCATGGAGTGAGAGAGAGAGAGAGCGCGAGGCGCATCGCTCTGAGTGACCGGAGAGAGAGAGAGAGAGAGAGAGAGTCTTATCCTATTGAAAAATGGATGTTGTTTTGTTCGTAAGTGATCTATGTTAAAATCCGTTACTCCGCTGAGGAGATGAAGCATGGAGTGAGAGAGAGAGAGAGAGAGAGAGCGCGAGGCGCATCGCTCTGAGTGACCGGAGAGAGAGAGAGAGAGAGAGAGATGTAGAGTCACCAGCATGAGTCCATAGCCGTGCCAAAACAGTGGGGCCAGTATGTAACAAACATGCTTTACACTGCATGAGAGAAGTACAGCAAAGCCTGCATCATGCGCACACACAGCCCTTCTAACACAGGCCCAGCAACCCCAAAACCTTTTTAATTACAAGAGTACCACCACAACTACACTTACACTTCTTTTCTTTTACATAAGCACCTTTGAGGTATGCATTAATATTTGTATTGCATAAAATAATCTATACATAAAAAAAAATTAACAATAGAATATCTTGTCAAATTCAAGCAGCTCAAGTAATCCACCAAAATCCATCTTGTGGTCACAAAACACAAACTACATCAAGAGTGAGACATTTGGGATTAGCACAGTACTTCAGACCCAACTCCACTCACACACAGCAGATTACATAGATTTAGAGTACATCAACTCTAACGCAGATTAACATGGTGGTCAAATGCAGATGAGCAATAAAAGAAAGAGAGCAAGAGGCTGAGAGCAACACAGCTCAGTAAGAGAAAATTCACGAGAGATTAAATCTGGTTGTTCTATTTTTTTCCCCTTTCTGTTGAAACTATCTAAAAATGACCAAAACAAACATATGAAAAAATGTGATACATAGTAACATCATTTACATTTAAGAAACCAAACACAAAGCTTAGATAGGAACAAATTCTCTATATTTTCAGATAATGATTTGTTTTTGTTTTCAATGCAGATACAGCTTAAACTATCTGTAAAAAGCACTGGCAGATCTCTTGGCAGCAGCTCTAGTTGTTTTATAATTCACAGTTGGGCCTGTGAGAGTGGCGTGTGTGTCAGTGGGGTCACTCTGCAGTGGGTTGCATGATAAAAACAGCACTACAAATTACAATAGGGATAAAGCAGCTTCACAACTGACTACTTTTCTATATATGTTTCCATGTATTAGAGAAAATAATAATAGGAGCACAGGTGTACACAGGCGTAAGTCACTTAGAGTACACCAAAATGATTGTTAGCAATAGTGGAGAATGTAAAAACAGACAAATAAACAGACACAAGCTATGAGCTTTCTACATGGTCATTTTTATTACAGCTATTTCA